GGGGGGGGGAGGGGGAGAGATACTGGATCGTTGGGTGGTTGGAGTTTTCGGATTGTGGACTGGAAGGCCCCAACACCCAGACACGGCAGGTCGGAGTATCCGTGCCCGATCCTGTCGGGATGGATGATGGGACCTGGACTCGTTCAAGTATTTTCTTGGCGCTCCCTTGTCAAGAAATAAGCCACGTGCCGATAAGGATCTTTATCAGCTCTTAGCCACAGCCTTGCGTGTCCCCGGTAATGTCGGTTTACATGTAAACAAACAACGAGCCTGGGCAGCACCCAATCGCGTCGCCGATCGGCCTGCCGATTGTTTTGTCATTGCAACTTCCTCAACAGCGTATCTCCCCCCACCACCGTCCGCCTCAACCATTGTGCGCATTGTCTTGCGCAGTGTGAAGAAACAACAAAATCAAGAATTGACAAAATATTCGAAATTGACGCATTATTATCGTTCAATCAACCTCCGAAATATGTATCGGTTTCGCGACTAAAACACCAAACCCGATTCCGTTTGCGACAGCCTCGACCTTTGCGCGATCACATTCCCAGCTACTGGCCTTCGCTCAGCCAAGCGGGACAAGAGACATCACCGTTACTACCAAGAAACAAGGCTGATTCCGACAATTCCTCTCGAGAAATAACATTCCTGTACGAATCGACCTCCGGCCGCAACGGCGCATCCGCGACCATGACAGACTACTTCATCTACGAAAATCGTCTGGTGTCTTTTGATGGGCAGCCCCTGGCAAACAAAGATGGGATACCTCCCGCTGATTCCCGAGGCAAGCTGGTAAAATGGCCACACAAGTCTTTGTCAGCGGATGAGGTCAGTGAACGGCACCGGAGAGAGGCAGCAGGTTGACAAAGCCTAAGTGGAAGAGGAGACTGACCGAACCGAACTTCTAGCTCGCAAAAGCCGGGTTTTACTTTGATCCCATGGTCATTAGTCCCGACAATGTAACATGCTTTTTGTGCGAGAATTCCTTTGATGGCTGGACGCCTGGAGACCATCCAATCCAAGAACATCTGAAACATTCACCATTTTGCGGCTGGGCTGTGACGGCAGCGGTCGAAGCGAATCTTGGAGACTATGGGAAGATGCACCCTCTGGAACCGATTCTTGTCGATGCGCGGAAGGCTACCTTTGGGGGGAAGTGGCCATACGAATCCAAGAGGGGATTCAAGTGCAAGTCAAAGCAAGTAAGCATCCCCTTGCACTTGCCCGAACCGAAGGAACACAAGCTAACGGGTCGCAGCTTGCCGAAGCTGGCTGGAAATTCGCACCAACAATCGAGGATGAAGACATGACAGTTTGTCCATATTGCCTGCTAGGACTTAGCGGTTGGGAACCTGGTGACAAAGCAATGTAAGAAGCGTTGCCCTCCATCTGACAAATATCTACCGCAACCAACTAACAAGCAACTTAGCGACGAACACCAGAGACGACAACCTCAATGTGCGTTTTTCCGTCTTCAGGAGGAATTACCACCACCGAAGAAGCCCACGAAAAGAGCCAAAACAGCCAGGACATCCAAGGTCGCCCACCGCCTTTCTGTCCAGCCTGTCGGCATCCCCACTGCAGAAACCTTGGATCAAGTATCCGCCTCAGACACCGCGGGCGGCCTTGAGGATACCATCATGGCGCCAACCACGCGAGCAGCAAAGAGCAAAAAGGCAACTACTAGGAGTCGAAAAGCGAAAGCCCAGAAGAAGGGAGCAGAGCCCAAGGAAACCTTAAAGGACAAACCAGCAGACGAACAATTGGCTGCTGAAGAACCACCAAGTGGACGGAAGCGGGGAAGCGAGTCGATTTCCGACTCTGTGGACTCCAACTCGGAGGCGCCTCCGCAGAAGAAGCGGGCAACACGAACAGGAGGAGCTGCGATTACTGATGTTTCCACTTCAGCCGTGGAATCACAGGACAATGACATTGTCGATGCACCATCTCCCAAACAAACAGCTACCCGCAAGAGAGCGCCCGCCAAAGGAACACAGAACTTGCGGAAAAGCTCACGAGTTTCTCTCCGGCACTCACATTCGACAACAGCGCCGCAGACGGATTTGTCGAATGATGAGGCCGTCGATCGTCAGATGGAAAGTGATGACGCCGATATTGGTCCAGGACGCAAAGCGCAGGATGCAAAATCACAACAGGAAGCGATTGCTGAGGATCCAATCCATGCATCCGACATCCCCCTCCCCAAAGATAGTCGCAAAGTAGCTGCTCAGAGGAGGATGTCTAAGCAAGCGAAAAGGATCCAACAGTCTCTTCCATTATCCGATCCTATCGACGAACTGACGAACGGACCTACTGCTGTGCCCGAAGCTACATCTATAGTGCCTCAAATAGCAGAGCCCGAGCTAGGATCTGGAGAGGATCTTGATATAACCTTGGTCTCAAAAAGTAGCGACCGACCCAGTACGGTCAAGCGGGGAAGAGGACGCCCATCAAAAAAGTCTACATCTTCCCATGCGCCAAGCGAAGTGGCAGAGCAGCAGCGAACTTCATCTGGGATCCCGCTTCCGGAGGCCCAAGCCCCGGTCGAGACCCAGGCTGAGCCTGAAACTGAGCGCCGCTTATCAGCTTCAACTCCGAAAGAGGCGGGCGTTGAAGCGGCAGCAGAAGAGCCGGTTCCGGAACCTACGCCCCGGGCCTCCCCTCTAAGAGCGGCCGTTACTCGTGCTGCGCCGACACCAGCCAAACTGAACAAGTCTCTTCCTCCGCCGCCATCTGAGTCCCCAGATCACCTGTCTCAGCCGCTTGCTACACCTCAGGCACCTACAGTCGCGCGTGTACCTCAAGAACAGCCAAGTGTCTACCGCTCGCCTTCAATGCAATCCTCAAATGCAGAGAACCGACCCCCATCGCCGAAGCAATTGACCCCAATTGTCGAACGTCATGCTCTAGCACCAATGGCCACCACACCAGACAGGCCCACTTCTCCTTCCAAACGGACGATTCTGGGTGCCCTTCAAAGCACTAAGCCTTGGACCGCGGCGGATTTAGACAATATATTCTCGCCCAACAAGAATGACTACGGCAAGGAAGACGGCATTGACAAACTCTTGCACAAGGGCAGTGAGCTCACGAGCCCGGAGAAGCGGATGACCGTGGAGGAGTGGATCTATCATAATGCCAGCTTGGCCGAGCAGAGACTGAAGAGGGAATGCGAGGAGATGGTCCTGCTGTTTGAGAAGCAGGGTGCTAGAGCGATGGAAGCTTTGGAGGGGCTTATCGTCGAGTAGTGGGTGAGTGGCACGACCCTTGGGCACCAGATTATCAGCATAAAAGGACGAGAGGTGTGGATTTGCATACTAAATTCCGCTTCTGGTTCAAGGTCGGGCAAATTCTGTGTGTGTGATACCAGGTAATGGACATGAAATTTGCGTGATGCGTTACATAGCAAGCTTATTGTGTCAGTGACTTTGGCTTCTGGTTTGAGTAGCATGGAAGGCGTCATTCGATGTCCGGTTAGACGATGTAGGGATAGCATTGTTGGTGACGTTACAATGGAATTGCACAATAGTGTGCATCACAACGAAACAAGCCCTAAAGTTACAGCTGCAGGTTCTCTAGATAATGCCGGGTTGGGGATCTGGACTAAAGAGCGAGTGTGATGAAAGTGGTTTTGGTTTTTCCATTAGCGGGCGCTTAGTGGTTGTGAAAGCGTTTACACCAAGAAGTAGAACGAGAACTTGACAGCCACCTGGCGAGATAGCGAGTAAGAAACATTATAGGCAAGCAAGAGGGCAGAAAATGAACATATATAATATCTGACTCTAGTAGTCTTTCAGACACAAACCATGTCGACTCTGTTTAGGAGCTCCGTGTGGTTGTGACTTGCAACTGAAGTAATCGACGTGCAAGGGTTAGGGTTACTACACCGTCCGTTTTTTTCTTCGTGGCGCTGCCCATGACTTCATTGGGGCAGGCAGCCTTGTGAATCTACTTTGGTACCTTCACTACAGCCACCAATTACGAACCACGCGACGCGCTTCAACCTTTTGCTTCTTTAGTTGGCTTCCATCAATTTCAATCTCGAAGGCGAAGATAGGATATACGGCAATTCTCCTGGCTGTAGTCAATAAATCATCACCTATTTGCAAAGCCCTTTGCGCCGCCGTATTTCAAAAGCACCACCAGCAACAACCATCACAAGGTACCGACCGGCATCGCAGTAGTAGTAGCAGCGACAGCTCGACAGCTCGACAGCTCCCCGTCGTCGTTGCACTCCCGTCGTCACAATGAGGCTGACGGCAGACCTTATCAACAACTCCCTTTCCTACCTCAATCCGCTCAAGGAGCGAGAGATAGACCTCCGAGGTGCGTTCCATCGAGAAGAGCAGATACTGCACGGTTGATCTTCAAGTTTCCAAAAGCGCGTACAAAGAACAGAGTTGATATATCGAAAACCTATGTTGGGTTGGGATACATGCAATAGGACACAGAATACCTGCTATTGAGAACTTGGGCGTTGCTGGGGTAAGTTTCTCCCTTCTCCTGGTTCTTCCTCTACTGCTAGTCCTGCTACTGGTAGCCCGTTTCGACCAAATGATCAATTAATGCAGTTTGCTAATCCGGTCGCTACTACAGCCCCACGATGCCATTGATTTCACCGACAACGATATCCAAGTGCTGGGCAACTTCCCGCTCTCTCCCCGCATACGCACCCTCCTCCTCGCCCGCAACAGGATCGCCCAGATCCAGTCGACCCTACCGAATGCGATCCCGAACCTGAAGAACCTCGTCCTGGCGTCCAATAACATTGGCGAGCTGGCGGATTTGGAGGTGCTGGGAAGGTTTCCAAGGCTCACACACTTGGTCTTGACGGACAACCCCGTTACCAAGAAGGAGGTACGTCACACAACGCCCCTTCGTCACCCAGTGTTATGCAGCCGAGAGAGAATCGGAGACAGGGATGGGAAATGGAATGAATGTACGGAATGGCTGACAATGGTTTGTTGACACACAGAACTACCGCTACTGTGTTCTCTGGCTTTGCCCTCAGGTTCGCTTTCTTGATTACGTCAAGGTCAAGGACGCCGAGAGGCAAAAGGCGAAGGAGCTGTTTGGAACCGCTGATGAGCCGACGGAGTTGGCCAAGACGGTATGTACCTTGTCTTCTTTTTACAATGTCATGACAAACCTGCTAACATGTAACCAGATAAAGGGAATCAAGACCAAGACCTTTGACGTTGGCGCCAGCTCCGCCAACGGTGCGGCCGGCAGTGGTCCTTCCTCGAAACTTTCGCGTCTCAAGCTTACAGAGAAAGAGAAGAAGAAGTTGCAGGATCTGATCAAGAAGGCCGACAGCTTGGAGGAAATCATCAGATTGGAGAAGGCGCTCAACGAGGGACGGCTGCCACCTGGCATTATCGCCGAGGATGACGATGCCATGGAGGAGTAAGGAGGAAGCAAGGTGATGGGCACCTGACGAACGTGGTAGATCAGGTTGCCATATGTTCGTGATATGATGGCTTGCAGAGGTGACGAAAAGGGGGAGGACGGCACTTCAAAGAGCTTACCATTTGTCGGCGTTCGGTTCTAGATGGGGCTTACTGCAAAATAACTGTATACCAAATTACGCAAATTTGTTGGGTTGAAACAGAGACACTGTAACATGATAGTGGTGTGATGACTTCACTGCAGCAATCGGAGCGGCCTTGAGGAAAGGGACGCTGGGATGAGCATATCAAGGGCCCATGGTGTTGATTCGGCAACTCTTCACCTCTTTAACTTCCTGTACTCACCCAGATATTTAACACGTCTATTCGGCTCTGTATGTATGGACAGTTGTTCAACTAACCCGTCATATCCACATCCCCATCATGACCCCGATATTGCTGTGACGCCGCCTGCCTCATCTCCATCTGCAACTGCGCGCTGGGATCCTCGTCCGACGTAGTAGCTGGCGGTGATGCCGACAAGATACCCCTATTTATACCGCTCATCACACCAGGAGTAGAACTAAACGGTCGTCCCGAAGCCGACGACATGCCCACCACACCCGTCGTGACACCCATATTGGTAATACCGGTATTAACCCCGCCAGCACCGAGTCCATTCACCGGCGCCGCCAGCCCTCCAATGCTTCCACTAGCACCGCTTCCTGTACCAGCAGGCAACCCCCCATTCATAGACATCAAGATCGACGTTTGCTGCAACCCGCCGGACCCCTTTTGCTTCTTGGCATTCGGCAGCATCGCCATCCTATCCCGCTCATCTCCATGATCACCTACTTGTCCCTGCTCCAAAGACAGCATAACCCCCTCGGGAGCTGCCAGTCCTCCCATAACCGGTCCAGGCGCCAAAACGACCGCGGCGGCGGTCCCCGCAGGAGGAACCACAACGTCGCTCCCGCCCTTGACGCGGGCCCGGGCGGCCGCTGCTTGCGCCTTGATGGCTTTGTAGGAAGAAGTCTTGGGCACCACGTCCTCAAGGAACTCGAGGTTATCGTGGTGGGAAACGGCAGCGGCCACGTCCTTGTATTGCACGTTGCGGCGAGGCTTGCGCTCGGCTTTGGCCATGTTCTGGGCTTCCGAGGCTAGGTGTTGGATGAACATTTCTGTTGCCAGAGTGATCACGAAAGCGGCATTGTTGGAGCAGACTGTGATGTCTGGATCTACGGCGATGATTTTTTTGACCCTTGTGACTGAGTGAAGAGGATGTGGTTAGTATATGAAGACTCACACGGAGTGAATGGGTGAGAGGAAGTTCAAGGGGACTGCTGGGTTTCCTTACGGGGCAGCTGGGTTTGGCCTGTGACTTCCTTTCGGGGAGGGATTGCTGTGGTGTTGTACGGCATCTTGTTGGCAGGGAGAACGGCGGATCTCCAGGAGACGATTTGCGAAGTGATTCCAAGTTCGGAGTAAATTTTATATCGCTGAGGTGAGGGAGAAACCAGTTTGGGGTTCAGTTCTACTTTTCGTTCTAGACTGAGCTTCGTAGGTGCCGCCACCGAGGGTGTGACAAGTTTGTAAGATTAGCGGCCGATATGTCAAAAGTGACCGTGGGTCCTCTAGGTGATCCGATCAAAGTCTAACCAGCTTTTCTTGGTCCTGAGAATGGTTTAACTCGAACTAGCGGATCAACGGTAAGAAGTTAAAGTGAAACGCGTAAAGACGCGATTAACAGAAGTGTTGCATCTTTTCCCAGACAACCCCATGGGTGGCTATAATATGGTACAGTACCATGGGGCGGGCACCTTGGCGGCCCAGGGATTGCCTGCCAAGAGCCCAGGACCCCGGAAGCTGGGCGCTGGAGTTGGGACGTCACTCAGTTCAGCCTTGCAGTGATAGCTTCAGTGGACGATTACAGGCACCTGGGCGGCTGGAGGCGCAATCGATAACGGTGACAACCTGGAAGACAAATACCTTAGGTATCATGAATACTTAGTACTTCTAGGTGCTGAGAAACGGCAAACAACTCGGACAAGCGCCCACCTATTTCGCACTTCCTACTTCACAGTCCGAATGCCAGCGACATGATGTCTAGAGGCGGCCCAGGCGCCATGAATTCGCAACCCCGATCTACGTCGTTCTCGACGTCAGTGCCCCAGATCCCGAACCAGCGCGCTCGAAGACCGTCCGTCAGCTCCCGGTTTTCCTACGCCGTGTCCATTGCCGAACAAGGAGAAGCCCAGACGGCCCAAGGAGTAGCAGCGCAACATCAAATCGAGGAGGAAATTGCGCAGATCAAGCGATACGAGGTCAGCAGCTAGCTTCGCTTGCTCCAGAGTTTGGGTTGTGCGATGCGACCGGGTTAGTTTGTGCGGCTACTAACATGGACCGAGTAGGACTTCACCACCATCGGTATGATACACCTTTGACATCAGAACCATTTCCGCCCGACCGGCCGGGCAGGCAGGCGCTGACGATAGACGACAGACTGGGTGCAAGATGCGGCGCGAGAACAACTGCGCAGAAAGGCGCGCCGAAAAAGAAATGCGGGGCTCTGGGACGCCGGCCGCTTCGACTGGCGACACAGGATACGGGAGTCTTATGATGCTGCCCAGGGCTGGATTGTCGTCACCATCATAGGCGCGGCAATTGGAGTCAATGCTGCTTTTCTCAACATTATTACCGAATGGCTTGCCGACATCAAGCTTGGCCATTGCAAGACTGCCTTCTATCTGAACGAGAATTTCTGTTGCTGGGGGGAGGACAACGGCTGCGACGACTGGCAAAAATGGACGGGTTTCTCACCCATCAACTACTTGATCTACATACTCTTTGCGGTTCGTAATACTTGGCGCTCCCACGTCGGGCCATCTGAGAAGACCAACTCCCCCGCTAACAGCGAGGCTCTAGATCTTGTTCGCCTGCACATCAGCCACCCTGGTCAAGTCCTATGCCCCCTATGCCGCCGGCTCTGGCATTTCCGAGATCAAATGCATCATCGCCGGCTTCGTCATGAAGGGGTTTCTCGGTTTCTGGACTCTGGTCATCAAGTCCTTGGCCCTACCACTTGCCATCGGCTCCGGTCTCTCCGTTGGAAAAGAAGGGCCTAGCGTACACTATGCTGTGTGCACAGGAAATGTCATATCGAGGCTCTTCGCCAAGTATAGACGAAATGCATCCAAGACGCGTGAGATCCTCAGCGCTTGTGCTGCTGCAGGAGTTGCCGTCGCTTTCGGTAGCCCTATTGGAGGTGTGCTGTTCTCGCTCGAAGAGATGTCTAGCTATTTCCCTCTCAAGACCATGTGGCGTAGCTACTTCTGCGCCTTGGTTGCAACAGCCGTCCTGTCTGCCATGAATCCTTTCCGAACTGGGCAATTGGTCATGTTCCAGGTCCATTACGACAGATCGTGGCACTTTTTTGAGATTTTATTCTTTATTCTACTGGGCATCTTTGGCGGTCTATACGGTGCCTTCGTCATGAAGTGGAATCTCAGGGTGCAAGCATTCCGCAAGAAGTACCTGACCAACTACGCTATTCTCGAAGCTACTCTGTTGGCGGCTGCCACGGCTATCGTGTGTTATCCGAACAGCTTTCTGAGAATCGACATGACCGAGAGTATGGAGATTCTTTTTCTTGAATGCGAAGGCGCTGAGGATTATCAAGGCCTCTGCGAGAGACATCACCGCTTTCGCAACGTGGTTTCTTTGCTGCTAGCAACCGTCATCCGTATCTTCTTCGTCATTATTTCGTACGGCTGCAAGGTCCCAGCCGGTATTTTCGTGCCGTCTATGGCCATCGGTGCCTCCTTTGGCCGCTCAGTGGGCATCATTGTCCAAGCACTCCATGAAGCCAACCCGCAAAGCCCATTCTTCGCTGCTTGCTTGCCCGATGTGCCATGCATCACACCGGGAACATACGCCTTCCTTGGCGCTGCCGCTGCTCTGAGTGGTATCATGCACATCACCGTCTCGGTGGTGGTCATGATGTTCGAGCTTACCGGCGCCCTCACTTACATCCTGCCAACCATGATTGTCGTTGGAGTAACCAAAGCCGTCAGCGAGCTGTTCGGCAAGGGTGGTATCGCAGACCGCATGATCTGGTTTAGCGGCTTTCCCTTCCTCGACAACAAGGAAGACCACAACCTCGGCGTACCCGTCTCGCACGCCATGATCAAGGATGTCACATCCATCCCCACCAACGGCATGACCCTCCAGCAAATCGAAGCTCTTCTCGCCGAGGACAACTACCAAGGCTTCCCGGTCGTGGAAGACGAGCACTCCAAGATCCTCGTAGGCTACATCGGCCGCACGGAGCTACGCTACGCCGTCGACCGCGCAAAGCGTGAGAGAACACTCAGTCCTCAAGCCAAGTGCACCTTTGCTCCACCGCCCAGCGCAGATGTCACCACCCCCGGCGCTGACATCATAACACCCGGTCTTGCCCGCATGGACAGCTTCAACACCATCGGCTTCGCCGAGCCATCCACCACTGCCTCCGCTTCGTCCTCCTCTTTCTCCTCCAACTTCATCAACTTCAGCCGCTACGTAGACACCACCCCCGTTTCCGCTCACCCGCGCCTCCCCCTCGAAACCGTCATGGAACTCTTCCGCAAGATCGGTCCGCGTGTGATCCTGATTGAGTACCACGGCAAGCTGATGGGGCTTGTCACGGTGAAGGATTGTCTCAAGTATCAGTTCAAGGTCGAGGCAATGGAGGAGGTTGCTAACAATGGACAACACAGTGGGCATGGACAGGGTAATGGAGCGGAGCAACAGGGGGTTGTTAGTAATGACGAGAGACTGTGGGAGTTGATGCAGAGGGTTGCGGGGTGGGTATCGGATAAGGTGTCGATCGCGAGTGGTGGGAGGATTCGGTTAAGGGATTCGTTGGATTTGTCTAGGGAGACGTTAGCTGGTGGTGCTGGTGCTCGCGTGGGTAGTGGTACTAATAGAACGGTGAGGAGTCAGGGAGGAGTCAGGGATGATCAGATACTAGATGGGACGGAAGATGAGGATGAAGATGGGGTTGAATTGGAGAATCGGCAGACGTACCCGCACGGATCTACGTCTGGGTAGCCGTGGAGCGGGATGAAATTAGTGCGATGAGGCGGGCCAGACGGGTTACATCGGTATATGAGTGTAATGTATGTAATGCCTGGCATTTTCTTCTGGTTGGGTATAGAGGTGATGAAAATTCGAGCGAGAGAACGAATCACTGTATAATAATACTATTACAGGCCAGACAGATAACGATGACAGACCGATCTCCATCGGGCTCTGGAACTGCACCTTCTCTGGCCTTATTGAAAGCAACAACTTGTCGCTTGTGTGTGCAGACCTGACCTCTTCCCTTTGCTTCCAACCTCAAAAGTCCCTCCCATAGAGAACGGCAGATAATCCCAGGGTCCTCTTTTTTTCCACATTGTCAATTATTTCACAGTATCAACCGGTGTGACCCCAACAACGGTCTTTAAACCATTTTCAGAACATGCTCTTGCTTGTCGTACTGTGTAAACACCGGTGAACGGTGAGACCGTCATGTCACCCTTAGTGAATAAATGAAGTACGCCTGACACATGACGCCAAAGTGGGCGGTTGGTCGGCGGTTGCAGGGCTGGCTGTGTTATACATACACTACAGTCTTACAGTCCAGTAGCGTAGAGGGGCCAAGACGAACCAGCGTGTTTTGGTTATCTTGTCCCTTCGTCCATTCAGGGGCAGTAGTAGCTGGCCCCTTTGGTCTAAAGGCTTCATCTATCAGGTAATGATAAGGTAACCGAGGAGGTTGTTGAGGGCACCTGACAGGAGGTTAGTTAGGTTGTCCCAAAATAAGAGAGAAAAAAAAGAAAGAAAGAAAAGGGAAGGGACCGGCTTGTGGACTGGCCGTTGTGGATGCACTGGTGTGTACACTACTGGCATTGCGATTCTCTCTAGGCAATGAGGCAAGATAGTGCAGTGGTATGTGTAGTTCAGGAGGCGAGAAGTAATGGAAGCGGTGATCCCGCCTTATCTCACTGAGACCGAACAACTGCTCCTCCTCACTTTTTTGAGTAGGTACTTGCTTACCTCTATGTACATAGCACATGCTAGTTGATGGAAAGGGCAAAGTCTCGCGTAACCGTATGAACATAACGAATATCATCTACCTACCTTGGTAGGTAGGTTTTAGTGTTCAAGGTGCGGTACCTCTACCTAGCCAACGACACATCCTAGTCTTTGTTCCTTGTACAGTGGCCCGGGGGTTACAAATCGAGCATCGTTACGGTGACTACCTACAGTGGCCATGAGTGGTACAGTACACTGGTGTCCAGTAACATGCCCTGGCGAAGGCTACCCGTCCATACCAACGTAAACACAATGTCGTTCAAGAAGCCGCGCAATGCTTGTCTTTCACTGTACAACTGACCGCGAAACGATTGTTGTAATCGTGGTTCATCTGAAGCTCGATTGCGGGGAAACCGCAGTTCGAAAAGATTCCAAGTCGCAACGAACGAAGTCGGAAGGGTGGGGACGACGTGTGCAGGGATAGTTGATGTTATGGGTTCCGTTCCACGATAATCGCTGACAGAGTCGCTTTTTTCTATTATTTTTTCTCCATGCGCTTGCGGAAACGCGGCCTTCAACAAGGGAAACACTGGACCCCGCCATACCAAAATGGTCACTTTCTCCACGCAATGGAAACGACGATGATGTCAAATATGCCATGTTTGCGTATGTTCATTTTTCCCTTTATATATATATATATATATATTTTTTTTTTCGCTCTTTCGAATCCAAAAAGAAGCAGCAAAGAAGCCGCTTAGTTACCCGGTCACATGGACCAGTACCCAGTTCCCTTGCTCTTTCCCCAGCCGACCCACCTCACCGAAATCGGTCCTTTCCAAACAGGTATCGTTGCGCGGCTTCCCCCGACCTATCCGACCGCTGTCTCCGCCCAGAACTGCTGAGAAACGCCCGCAATCCCCATTCCATCCACGCGCTTTGGAAGATCGACACCGCCAGTTTTCGTCCTCCTTCTGATAGGTCATCTTGAACCTCTTCATCCTTCATCCTATCATCATCCAGCCCTGTCCTGTCTTACTCACGCTGATACCCCCTTTTGCCCATCAGCATCAACAACATCGTTACCGATCATCAGACTCCAAGCGACAACTTAGCTGGAAACGGTTGAGGGCATCCCTCCATAAAACCTCAGTTCGCAAGCGTCAATATAGAGCCCATTGATCCCTCTTTTGTCACACAACATAACCGATACCCCTCAAGCCAAGTCCAGACACCTAAGCATCTTTTGACTTGCTCAACAACCGCCTCTTTTTGCTGCAACTCTAGAGCTTCCTGTCCATCAACACCTTCCGCCCCTGTACTCATAAGAACGACCCCGACAATATGGCTGTCGGAATCACCCAGACCATGGCTGCAGCCACCACCACCGTCCCCCTCTGTCTCAAAGCTACCTTCAAGGAGACACCAAGCCTAAACAACTTCGATAAGCTCGTCCAGGCCTTGAAAGATGCCCTGGGACCGTCGTCGGGTTTGACTTCAGACGATGTCGATGTCGAACACCTTACTCGCTTGATGCAAGACTATCAAAGTGATGAGGTAGAATGGTCGAGGTTCGCCTTTGGTGATGCAAGCCGGGGGTACACCCGCAACTTGGTTGATGAAGGAAATGGGAAAAGCAACCTTGTGAGTAACAGTCTGCCCGGTGCCTTATTTCCATGCACCCCTATTCCCCGTCCCTCGACAACAACGTGCCTTTCTGTATATTGTGTGATGCAATGTTCACTCGAACAAAACACTGACAGCAAACAATGAACAGCTCGTTCTAGTCTGGTCCCCAGGCAAAGGCTCACCCATCCACGACCACGGCAACGCCCACTGCCTCATGAAGATCCTCCAAGGCAACCTCACCGAAACCCGCTATGCCTTTCCCGACTCCACTTCATCATCATCATCCTCCTCCTCTCCCTCCTCAGAACCAGAACGAATGCAAGTTATTGCGGAAAAGGTCTACCGCGAAAACGAGGTGGCCTACATGGCCGACGAGCTTGGCGTGCACCGCGTGTGGAACCAAGACCCGGACAACTTTGCCGTCTCGTTGCACCTGTACACGCCGCCCAATGTAGCAAAGGGGGGCTGTCACATCTTTAACCCGGAGACGGGAAAGAAGAGCCATGTGCCCAAGTGCGGGTACTACTCGGCTTATGGGAAGAGGTTGAAAGAGTAAGAAAAGACAAACAGAAGAGATGAAAAGAGAGACGATATGCAAAAAGAGAGGAGATGATACTCAGTCGAGGTTGTAGTCGATGATGAGCATACACGATGGGTGGATGGATGATTGATAGATAGATGAAGAAGGTAAGGGTCGGTGGCAGGTGATGAGCCTCGTTTTGTCGTCGAATTGGAGTCGAGTCGAATCCGTTTGCATAGTTTGGTTTCGTTGGGCTGGATGGGGGTATATGATGACGATGATGATGTCTCGTCAAGTCGAGGGAGGCGTTCGGTTGATGAGCGGTGATTCAGGGGCTATTGTTATTCCCAGGCTAGTTTGTTTTCGTTCATGTTGCTAGGTAGTAATTGTATTGTTGCTTGCTTGCTTGCTTGCTTGCGTGTTTCCATTGTTGCTTTCAGTGTCGCTCCCAGTGTTGTCTCGCTTCGTGGACATCGGGTTGAGAAGAGAGAGCGCTGTATTTGAGAGAATGTTCAGTACCGTAGGGTCCGTAACACCGCGAAATATGTTTTTCGAGCGCGAAATTGGGGAGAACGGTAGAGAATTAAACCAGCTTTACAGCACCCAAACAGCGAAAGAGATGTGAGAAAGGAGAAACGGGGAGGGAAGAGGAGACATTGATGTCGTCGTCGGCGTCTTGAGGAGCGGATGCTTTCTCACTTCTCATACTGTTTTGGGACTAGCGCAAATTGCACCATATTCCTCCAATCGTCTTTTATGGGTCGAGCGGACCCTCGGAGTCGATTCGATGTCAGGTCTTGGGGGTGAACTGCAGTCACGTTACTTATCATGTGATACCTCTCTATACACTATGGTAGCAATCACCATCTGAAGAAGCACCCTGCTTCTTGAGAAAACGAACACAGCAATCGTCGACGACATGTAGTTTGGTTTGACTTGTACATGGTTTCCAATATTTTGACCATTCATCACTATGTCGAAACCCCAAACTCAAACTTTCCTCTCTACATGCATGTCCATTGTCTTAATGGACAGCTGAGCAAAAACAAGAACAACGCCTAAAACATAATCGCTACGAGACTCTGCTACCACCACCATCACCACCATGCTGATTTATTTACCTGATAATAAGTACCATACCCCCTCTATCACACGACACCGTCATTGGGTAAGGTGACTCCAGTAGCGCCACGTCAAGGACAGAATCCAAGTGACTTCTCAACAGCCGGAAATGTTCCTGCGAAATGATCTTGGTTCTTGACGGTCTCATCTTTTGCTGGGCATTCCTGGCTGAGTTGGACGATGACGATGATTTGCCATTGACTCCTTGCGCCACACCACTGCCCCTTCCGGTCCCGGTAACACCAGAACCACTAGCCTGGTCACCGGACGATTTGCCATGCAAGCGCTCGGTATTGAGAATCAAAGACGGAGTGGGATGACTAGCCGTGTAACTCGGCGCCGCCTCTCCCAGCTGTAAACCCGAGTAGATCCTGCTCTGACTCACATGCGTCAGATCCCAAAACCGTAGCTTCTTGTCTGAGCCGCCTGTGACCATAAATGCGTAGCGCACGTCCCGTTCCTGCAGCGGCGGCGGCGGCTGTTCTTCAACCGTGGCGGCGTCCGTTATGCCCCAGCCAAACACCAGTGCGCGGACCCCCCGGTCGGCGTTGCCCATAGCGTTGGGCTCGATATTGGTCGCGAATCGCGAGAGCATCTGTCCTTGCCCATTGGAAGGCTTGTCCTCGTCGACTTGCCAGGCATCGTAACCCTTGGGGCCTTCCTTGTTGCCGCCGACACGGTAAACTTCGCGGCATGTGGCCTTTTCAATGTCCCAGACTGTGACCTCGCCTTGGCCGGTTCCGCCAGAGGCACACACCCAACGGCCTCGGCCGCGGGAAGGGTGGATTGCGAGCCGGTAGATGGATCCCTTGCCGGGCACGCCCCAGCTTTTGAGCTTCACTTTAAAGCGGAGATCCCACAAGTCCAAGACGCCGTGAGACGTTCCCAGGCAAAGCCAGTTTTTCTTGAAGTCGATGCAGAAACAAGTGGGTGTGCCGTGATGGACCGGATTCTCCAGTTTGAAGAGCAGTGTCATGGTTCGGAGCTCGATGCCCCAGACGACCGACTTGTTGGTGGCCACGACAAGGATCGACTCGTTGTCCCGCTTGTAATGTTCGCACCACACACCGAACTCGCCGTCGACAAAGCGATGTTCCCTGACTGTGCGGAGACGAGTGTACCGATAACTCTCGCCCTGCAAGTAAGTCTCAACCTTGACTATATGTACGCTGCCATCCGTGGCACAACTGACGAAGCTATGCGTGTTCTCAATGAAGCATAGCGCACGAACCTTGGCACCGGGAGCGTGTCGATGGGTGAGGCGAGGTTTGTGAATGTTAATCTTTTCAAACCTGGCCGAGTCCCAAACCTTCACGGTCCCATCATCGCCACCGGTCAGGAAGAATTGGTGATCCGGAGCAACAACGATCCGATTGATGGCACCGACATGCTCAACAAACGACGCGATAGTCACTCCTTTCGGCTTCCATCCATTTTCCCTTTGCTTCCCTGGTTGGGAGCTGATAATCTTGCCGGTCTTACGGCGCCCAATGGGTGTAACCTCTGGACCAAACTCTGCAAGGTCGTGTGGGTAGTTTTCGACGTACATGGTATCCAGCATCTTGAGAATATGCGGGTCATTTCCATGGTAGTCGTGGTTCACACGCAGTTTAATGCCGGGCGTTGGCGGCACGCTTTCAGTGTCTGGGGACCTAATATGAGTTCCCTGATAATGCTGAGAGAGGGGCGCTTCAACCTCACCAAAGGCATTGGTTTCTGTAGTACCAGTCTCAGGAACGGACTTAGCGCTGTCCTTACGATTCATCAGACTCATTGCACTAGACTGGTGCTTCAAGGCCCTCCTTGTTTCGTAAGGGGAGTAGTGAGCAGATCCCACGTCGTCATGAGGGGAGAGCAAAGAAGCCCGGCTCTGGTGAGACGCCGACCGTCTCAAGGTATCCCTTGAGCCTTCGCCATTGCTGTCCGTAGCAAGCCTGCCGTCCACGGATATGGATGGAAGATCTGATCGACTGCCCGACTTGGACTTTTGTTTATCCACCGCGGCCCGACGCCTTTGACTCAGTGGATCACCAATGGTCAACGACGCATCGAGGAGAGCCTCCTGGATCGTCTTGGGAGCCGTGTCATCATCGTCCAGTTGGGGAGCAGGATAGCGAATGGGTTCCTCTTCGAACATGACGGTCTGAGGCGTGATACCCAAGTTTCGCAGAGGAATGATGTCCTCGAGCTCAGATCTCTTCTCCATTTGCAGTTCAGTCGAGTCTCTCCCTTTCATCTGAACAAGACGCCATATGAACTCTCGCAGCATGATGAGTTTTATCTCGTCCGCCTGTGAGAGCCCTGCAGTCCTTAAGCGCCCCAGCCACTGCTCATCCTCATCTGTTTTGGAGAGTTTGGTCACAGCGCGAGCATCCCACAACCGTTTCGGAGGCTTCCAAAAACCGCTCTTCTCTGATTTTGCAGCCCATTGCATAGCCAGTTCAAAGACGTTACGCGAAAGTGGTTTTTGAAGCGAATCAAGAAGCTGAAGCTCCGACCAGCCAGGGATAATATCTGGCTTCAAGAAGGGCTTCAACTGTGGGTAAACCGAAACCTTCAGGTATGCAGAGCTTAGGAATTCGTTTCCGGCTGCTATGAAATGAGCGGCCGCTTCACGGATCCAGATGTTTGGATGCATTGTAAACCGTCGGACAAGGGCGACTAGGTCCACAAAGGCCTCCTTGGTCAACAGCCCCAATCGAGTCAACTCTGCCAATGATTGAAGCGCTCCTTGTACCACGAACTCCTCAGGGTCATCCACCGCCTGGATTATCAGAGGTAGAATGAAGCTTTCGAGGGTACTACTTCCCATAAACGCGGAAATGCCCACGACGGTGTCAAAGAAGGCATACCGCAACATCCAGTCACGGTCGTTGAGGTACGTGTTCAAGTGAGCGATGATAACGTCGTTCGCCTTTGCAACGCCGAAAAAGATGCACAGATCCGGTACTGAACTGAGAAAGGCTCTCCGAACAAAAGGATTGAGGTCCTCGATGAGCATTTTCGTATGGGTCTCAAAGAGGTCTACTAGGTCTTGGCGGGAACTGTCAAACAACCCATCGAGAGCCGTGTTGGTCTCGTTGCCTGGCTCAAGTTCTGGATCCGAAATGGTCACTGATCCATCGGCTCGAAGCGTCGCGGCCATTGCTAGGAACCGATACGCGGTTGTTGCCAGTTTTCCTAGACAGGCTGCATACGTGGCTCTAACTACAGGGCTTGGGGTCCCCTGTGATCCCAAGAGCGCAACCTGCATTCTGGGTAGGATATACTCGAGGAATATATGTGAGTTGACGGGGGTGATAATTTTGACGAGATCAAGAAGCTGCGTTATTGTGCGCAGCGCAGATATCGCAACCCTATCGCATTTGTCGGTCAAGAGGGTCATTAGGTACGGCAAGACTCGATCCAGCTTTGCTTCATCGGTTAACCGTTCAGCGAACGCTAGCATGATATCACACGCCTTGATCTTTGCGGTCGCATGCGCGGTGTTGCGCAGGGAAGACGCGACCAGAGTAAGGAAGATGAGTGTTCCATCATCAGTGGCGGGTTGCTTGTTCGCCGAGACATGATGTTCAGCGTTGGGGATGTTGAGTCGAACTGGGAAAAGTCCTAACCCCAACCTCGGGGACGGCAGGTGATGCTCGTATGGGTCATTCCCGTTCGCATAGCCAAGGAAGTAGGAGATCTTGTCAAAGTCGTTCCAGACCCTTTCGATCCTCTGATCCGCTTCCCCGATCCTCGAGTTTCCGGTTGAAAGGTCGGTAATCGACTGCATGTACTGATGTAGGAAGTTGTAGAAATAGCCCGGGAACACTTTGTCCTTCCAGAAATCGAGATACTGCTCGGCCGAGTAGCGCTTTTGCGGATCCACCTGAATCATGTGGGCGATCATCTCGCGCAAGTCCTTATCAGGGATGCGACTTAGATGTGAAATGGACGGGTCATATTCCCCCCTTCGGTATTTGTACAGCTGGCTCAAGTTGAATATTGGTGTTTCGAGGAACAATTCAGCAATAACACATCCGGCGCTGAACACGTCCATGGCCCATGTGATCTTCGCGTTCGGGTCGGGGTCTTGCCCGGGTGGGAGAAATCTCTCGGGAGCCAAATAGCATGTTCTTCGGCCAGACGTGTCAAAGAAGTAGGAAAAATCGGCAGGGTTGTCTTCCGGCAGCATGACAGGCTTGAATGACGATGAAAAGTCCGAGATGTAGAGCCAGTTCCAAGACGTCACTAGTGTATTTTCGGTTTTGATGTCGCCGTGGTATATCTCTTTGGCGTGGCAGTCGCGCAAGGCACACAAGAGTTGGAAAGCCAGCCAACGCTTCTCCATGTCCTCGAGAAATGGCCTGGTGCTGAGTCGGTCGTATAGGGAGTTGTAAAAGAACTGTCGGACCAGGTATCCGTTCGTCTCGGTCTCGATCGCTCGCTGATATGGAAGAGCGTTGGGTACACTGGCAAGCGCATTTCTTTCTCCTGTTGTTTCCCCGCGTCAGAAATGGCCAAAGTCCGATGGCAAAGCTTCGCACATCTGTCACTTACGGATAATCTTCTTCTTGAACCGTCCCAGCGACATGGCGTATGGCTTGACGAGCACTTTGACAAGCACGACTCCATCATTGTGTCTGGCACGAATACTCTTCATGAAGCGGGCCTGGCCGATGACCTTCTCATAAGTCAAATCTGCTAGCTCCGGGACATCAATACCGGCTGCCCCCGCTGGAGGGGCAGTCAAAGAGAAACCCTGACCCATGGTTTCGAGGTGTATAGTCGAGCCAGGAAGCTTAAGCTAACCAGCTACCTAGACGGCGAGATCGTCAGGCTGTTGCGCATCTTGGGACAACCATCCGAGACTTGACAAGTTCGGAGGAGGACGGAAAAGAAAGACAGCTTGGACGTGGAAGGATCGCCAATCTTGGTCTATATGGTTGTAGGGTGGTGTTTGTTCTTTGGAGCTTCGCTCGGTGCGACAGGATGACGAAGGCGCAAAGTCGTTATCAGTATGACTACAGGACGTCAAAGGGAGCGAAATATGCCAACGGGACCGGCACCTGAAGCTAGCTCTGTAGCGCTAGGTGATATTGTCAGCTGCCCTCTCAAGCAGTATTTCTCTGTTTCTTTGGTCGATAAAGGTAAGGTCGTGTGGACGTCAAACAGATAGATGCATATAAGTAGGTACTGTGGTGTGTACTGCGTATGTATGTACATACATCTGTGTGGTAAAGCGGTACCGTTCAGGCGGGCAAGTTGTACTACCGTTCGCCATTGGATGTCACCGGAGCCGGTTACGTATGAGGGTGCCGATAAGATAAACGCGTCAGCCGCGGAGGCTTCCTCGCTTCAGGGTTGGGCACTCCCGCTTTGTTCTTAGGTCTCCGTTACGTACGGTGCATCTCCACTTTGATTGATCAATCATCTCCACCTGGCCCAGGTAGGCCCACTTCAGCCCTATACTATGTAGGTACGTACAGAGTAGTCAAGTTATACGTTCTTTTCTACCATGTAGCGAAGGTGTGTCTACACTTGCAACGCTTTCTGCGATTGCGAGGACGTTATCTTGTTCACTCTTACTGAAATGCTAGGGCCTGCGCGGCTTGAGCCTGCATCTCCATACTCTTGGAGATCTGGGACAAAGCGCCCAAGGCCTCCTTGCGGGGGTTATCACTGATTTGCCTACGATTTATGGTGGGCATGAATGTTGTAGTATGCTTCCAGATTATGCCTAATATTTAGGGAACCTAAAACCCCGTGCCCCGAGTCTTTGCGGTCCATACGCGCAAGGAATTGCCGGCAGGGCAAGGCGCCTAGTTGGCTGCACCCCGTCGCACCGCCTTGAGATCTAGGTAAGAGACGGGTTCATCGAAGATGGCCGCTCCGTTGGGGACAGCATTGGGGTGGTGCTTGGCCTTGTCGACTTCCATGGATGTGAACGAGGTTGTTGTTGCCCCGTTAGGTCCTTGCTTGCTTCGTTTTGGTAGTTCTTGGGCGTGGGGACGGGAGCAAAAAATATTGAATAGGTAATACTTTCGTTTATTAGACTGAGGATCTACCTCAGTGGTAGAGTTACACGGGCAGCATAAGTAGGGTAGACAGGCTTTACCGTAGAGGTAACTGGAGCCAGGCGGGCAGGCAGAGCTACAGACCACTGAGACGACCACTAAGGCCCGCCTGGCAAGTCTGCTAGTATGCATATTTAGCTACAGACACCAGCCCCATGATAATGGCTGAGAAAGCGGGACTAAATTTACCCCCCCCCCCCCCCCCCCCACAAATTAGTTTTCCCATTCTTCTCCAGTGGTACTAGTCTTCTCCATCCAGTTGAATCTAAGACACCACCACGACCACGCTGTTTAGTCTCACCAGTCATCACTGTTGCGATTTTTTCGTGTCTTTACAAGCCGTCGACTACTAGGTAATGCCTAGTATCATTTACGTTTTCATCCTCTCACTGTTCCGTCCTACTTGGTTTGGCAGATTCTCAGTATAATCTCACATCGTTGCACAACGCCACTTTTCAGTATTGCACCCTCTGACTCGCGCTGGTGGGTTACTCCTTTCGTAAGATTGCGAGGTATTGGATCGTGGTCGAGTAACGCCGTGTTGAGTGTTACTGGGGTGAAGCTGTACGGATCTTCGTCATCGTCTTTGCGTGGTGGTGCAAACGCCGCGGTCCAAAGTATGGACTCACTGGCTCGCGCTGGTGGGTTCTCAACTCCTTAATTGTGAGATACTTGGGTCGTGGTAGTAACATCGCGTCGAGGTGATTTCGGGGTGAAGTTCATCGGGGAGTGCCGGGCAGTGACAGAGACCGTCGCGCACATTATATTAAGTAAGCTATTACCATCCTGTGAAGATCAAAGACCTATCAACCTGCTAACTTTGCATTCTAGCAACACGCAGAAACCATTCACCATGTCTGCAACCACCACCTCAGAGCAGGGAAAGCCTGCCACCCAAAAATCCACCAAAAAGGCCATGCCACAACGCCTTGACGCCGTCATATGCACGTCTGGTTTGAGTGGCCCCTTCATCGGCGGTTGCAGGAAAGCCCAGCCAGGCAACAAGAAATCCCAACTGGGTGACAAGGAGGGAAAGTTCGTTCTCGACGATAGGTTGGGCAGCGACGTCGACGTAACCGTTGTGTCCCACTGGCACAACGGAAAAAGTCACTGGTATGGTTTGACCATGAGCTTTGACCACAGCGTCAACAACAAGGTCAACGAAGATGCAGGGTTTGGGGCCCGTTATCAACCAACGACCAGCAACCCTGACATGGCTAAGCTCGAGCTTAGTAACCAGTACACCATTGTAGTAAGCTCTTCTGTATGCTCTGTTTCTATTATGTCCAAGATACTGAACATTACATTAGGTCAAGCTCCCTTACAACATGGACGAATATACAATCTCCATGCGGGACATCTCAAACAGCGTCGAACTTCCTCAGCAAATCCAAGAACTCTCTCCGGTTACCCAGATCGATATTCAGCTTCACAATGGTAGTAGGTTCTTGGTCGAGGGTTTCGGTCTACCGTTCGCCAATCCTAGTCATGCGAGCGACGGATGGATCAACGAAAATACACCAATCATTAGCAAAACAGATCTCCTCGGTCTCCTCTCTAGTTCCAGACTTACTTTACTCATTACTAAACTCGAATCGCGTATCGAGTTTGGAAGGCATCAGCCAGAGTTGTTCCGCTACCCGTTCGACTACCCCTTCCCCAAAGCCCAAAAGTTCAATATTGATTTGTTTGAAAAAATAATCAAGGAGAACATGGTATGTGCATGTGGCATCCCTTTAGCGTATACGATTACTAACTCTTACATTTGTAGGGTGAACGCTTCAGGCCTACCTTCAAGTTCGATAACAACGCACAGAGTGTGTACAGTAATACTATAGCCCACATCATAGATATGTACTAGCTATACAATAACTCGTACAGCATTCGCAACACCAAAGTTTCCGCTTATTTCATTCTTAAGAAGGAGGAACCAGCCAACCCAGACGAACCCATATACTTTACAGTAATTCGTCTCGATCAAACGTTTCGGGACCAATACAAAGCGCATTGGGAACACTTGGTTAAGGATGGAACAATCTCCCTCCATCTTAGAGATATTAACGGCCCTCTTCTCAATAGCCAAATCATAGAGCGCCCGGAGACCCTACCGGCCCTCTTAGACAAGCATACCTTTGCAAAACAGGTTTCCACAGCCAAGAATGCCGTTACAAAGCAATTTTCGCTTGACCTTATCATCAAGGTGCGGGTAAAAGACGAACACCGAAGTCTCTTAAAGACGTTCGATGGGCGTACTAAAGCCGAAGGAGTATTCGAGGTTCGTTCCCATTATATATTAAGGGACGTAACGAGTCACTAACTATTCATTAAACAAACGCAGTATAATAGAACAGTATTACACTCGATTTCAATATTTCCCTCGGCGACTTGGAGCGGAAGGTCATAGCAATCGAAACTTTTTTGCCTAGGAGCGCCGCTTGCCCACCAGAAACAGACCCCGAATTTAACTCCAATAAGCTCAACTTCAAGATAGCCCTCCACAGGGATCTCATACGCGGCACAGGTTTCTTCAACACTTTGACCGCCCCTTCCCTCTCCGGCGTTATAAATGCCATAATACTAGGTACCGAGGCGTCATCGCCTACACCCCGCCCCCTTCCAGTCTTCAATTTTTTCAATTTTGAAAATAAAATCTTAAAGCAACAAATCCTAGAAGAGGCACTCCCATCTAACAGGACTAGGATAGAGCTCTACGGGGCTAAGCGTTATTACAACGTCGCCTTAATCAGCGTACCTAGTAGCACCGGCAAGACAACAACTTTAAACACGCTAACGCTCGGAGGTCTCTATTATTTGCACAGCGGTGAAGTATATAGGTCAGGTCCTACCCATACAGCCATAACCAATTTTGCGTTGAAAATATACACAAATAGGCGCAAGGTTATCGATAGGTACAATAAGGTTATTCCGTCTACGTCCCGTCGGTCTTACCCCCTTATTATACGCGGCTATTCGCCTAAGGTGGAGGTGGAGACTTTTACCAACATCTTAAAAACCGGAATTACGGACAATACAGCATTTAAATCACGAAACCCCAAAAATACACCTCACTAACGGCTAGCACTATCGCCATCCAATTAACTACTCGCTATTTTAAGGTCCAAGTCTCTTAAACAGAGTCAAGAAGCTAGCATCGTACCCACTTTACTCCCAAAACACGCGACCTACCTCTATAAGCTTAAAGAAGAGATTGACCGGGGTAATAGGTCGGTAGCTCGTATCAATCAACTTACCCGTGGTGAACTAACATAGGAAGCCTATCGTAATAGGAACAAAGTCGATAAGCACCTCCTAGAGAAATAGCTGCAAAGGATTATCAACAATACTAATATTATCATAACTACCCCGGCTACAGCACAGGGTATATAGTTTAAAGAAGTTTGGAAGGTAATTAAAATTATTACTATCAACGAAGCAAGCTACATATCGAAAACCGACCTTTACTCTATCTAGGGTAATACCCTAAAGCCTATTATTCTTACCAGCGACGTCAAACAACTCCCTCCGCCAATAATAGAACTCGAATCCAAAGACAAGGAGGGCAATTATACAAACCGCTTTAAAACATATAACCGTATTTCAACTTTGGCCTAGTTACAGGCTGCGGGGCTCCCTACGTTCCGCCTTCTCCGACAACTGAGGATATATAAGGGTATATTCGACCTCCCGAACGAGCTCTTCTATTCCGACTACAAAAACATGGCATATAGCGATATTTACGACCCAGCCCATCCTAACCATACCGTCGGTAGAGCTTTTGAACAGTACCTGCTCGGTCGCAATCCAACCCTCACACCCAGCCCGGAAGGTCACCTGTTGCCTGTTTTCTGGCACATACCGAAAACACGAATTGAGGTAGTCGGCACTTCAAAGTTGAATCGGATGCAAGTAAAGGGCGCTTTAGAATTACTTAACGACTTTATTAAGAATTCCCCATACGCTTCACCACAGGACTTTATAGTTATTTCGGCCCACAAGCCCAATGTGGACTACGGCAACCGACTCCTAAAGTCCGGCCTCCCACACCTCCGTAGCATACCCCCGGTACAAACGGCCGATTCGTTCCAAGGTCGAAAAGGATCAATCTCGGTAATTATTACTAGCACCCGATCCGGCTTCATCCCTAGTTTCGTTGCAGACGAAAATCGTCTCAACGTCATGTTAACACGCCAAAAGTCGGGTCTCCTTATTATTAGAGACAAAAATGTTACTGGGGTCATCGAGGGTAAGGCAAAGGAAGTGCAGAAGGCAGAGAAGGACTCAAAGATGGGCAAGGTCTTCTACGATACGAACGGGGAGAAGAATTACAGCAAGTTAAAGCCTTTGCGGGATGTGATTGTTTGGATCCACAAGAAGGGACAGATCTTGGAAATCAAGGGAGAGGAGGGGAAGAATACCTCTAAGGAGGATGATAAGAAGCTTGCTGATGAAGAGAAGAAGCTTGCTGATGAGGAGAAGAAGCTTATAGAGGAGCAAACGGCGAATGAGATGCAATCACGGGTTGCTGACTCGATCACGGAGTATGACGAGTTGGATTGGGGGAATTTGTATGATCTTGACTATTATGTCGATTAAGGGTGTGCAGGTTATACTGGGCTAGAGCATACTGAACCTTGGCATGCCATGGTTTCGACACAGCTTTAGGCAGTTAAATAGAAGTAGGTAGTTTGCTACATATACGGATTCGTCTCTCATTCAACTTATTATTATCTACAACCAGAAATACTTGCTTAGCAAGTCGTCTTTTCACCGGGCAGCTTTCAGAGTAGAATTTTCCTTCTCCCTCGAGTTGATTGGGGCCTACTGGGTTGATGGTGTGTGTGAGAGCAAATCTACCTCCTCCCGATGAAAACGCGACGGTCACCTCATCCTCCCCAACGCGAGCAACGCGGCGATCACAACGAGCTCCCTTATCATCATATCCAGACAACTGGATACTCGATCACCACATCCCTAGGCAGCTATTCCAAGGGGCCATTAAACTTGCACCAGTTCTGAATGAAGTCCGCCAACCCTCATCCCAACAGTGACCGCGCCCAATACAACACACGCTGCCCACAATAGCAGAACAAGACGAAAATCAACCTCCTGATGACCAACACCCCAACGATCAGCCACTCGTCATCCAAGAGTATCCTGACAACGAACCCCCCCACTAGCCAAAATACCAACAATGAGCCGCTCGATGTCCGAGATGCTGACGAGCAAACGCCCGTTGCCCCAAACACTAACGATGAAACACTTACCGTTGAATACACCGATAACGCCAACAATGAACGGTCCGGTGACCAACGAGATCGCCATCAACAAGCCCCTCAAGTCAAAGAGGAGGCACCAAGTTCAACTACACCGACAGAATCCCTACCGCTATATCTGCAACCGCTCGATGAAACCCTCGTAGACGACGTGGAAGACAACAATCAACCGAGCCACATCGCCGAAACGCCACAGCCTATATCGCTTAATTTTGAGGGACGAAGCTTCTATGATTCTACGGACGAACCGTTCTCATCGCCCGAGATTGAGTCATTCCAAAACAACGAAGCCAAACCAGAAAATGCCACCCACAATAAAGACCTCGACCTCCCCGATATATCCGCAAATTGTAATGCCGCTGCAGATGCATCACTCCGCGACGAAGAGATCGAGGATGTCGATATGGAAATGGTCGAAGGCTGCAGTTGATCAACTGACCGACGCCTGTTAACTTGTACGGATTGGACTTGGCGCAGTACCCCTATTGTCAGGGCACTGGGACAGTACATGTATTTCGAGTCGGCGACAGGCCAAATCCAGACGGACTTAGCCTAGTTCATCATCCAGAATTCACACACATTGCATTGCATCCATCATCACCCTTATAGAGTGGTGCGCCATCACGTATCGAACGCGTGGAACGAAGTTATCATCATCGAATCAGACTGATCGATTAATTCATTTTTCTTTCTTCCTCTGATTCCCGAAAAGGTATTTTCGCCAGCCCTCTTTGGCAACGAGGCACCAGTCGAGTCAGACTAAGTAGGATCAGAACACCCGCCTGACATACTCGCCACAGACAAGAAGCGGACCTCTACGTTTGAGTACCTTAACGTACTGCCCCGCCAATAAGCAAATTGATACAGTCGATTTCCTCAAGTCTGACCAACACGGCTCAAGTCTCCCTGCACCTGGCAGATCAAGACAATTGATGCTATCAATTTCCCCTAAGCCAGACTCAGAGTTGCGTTGCGGCAAGTTTAAGGCTAAAACCGACCCTGATCTCCGCAAGCACCTGAAAAAACATAGCGACGTTATGCCTTTTGCGTGTCCTCATTGCGAGTTTAGGGCTAAAGCCAACCCTGAACTCTGCAGCCACCAGGAAACACACGGGAGGCCCTTTGCGTGTACCGTGGATGGTTGCGGTCAGACATTCACAGAAGAGAGGTATCTCGAGAACCATGAGAAAACATGCTCCAAAGGGCGTTTGGTATGTAAAGAGCCGGGTTGCGATCAGAAGTTCACAAAACCCTGTAACCTTACCAGACACGAAAAGAGCCAGCATAAGAAGGGTTGACAGGTCAGGTGGGGGTGTTTGTTGAGTTAAACGGTGGTAGTGATAATAGGATGGAGTTGAGGGGATAGTGGAAAGATAGGCACGGAGAAAGGATTGGAGACTATGGCCATGTTGAGTGTATCTAGGGTGGTAATCGAAAGTGTTAATTGTCTTAACTTGCAATGTATGGAAATGACGCCCTCGCTCTCCTGCTCCAACAAGTGCGTCTTCTGCTGGCGTCACGGCACCAACCCAGTCGGCACCTCCTGGCGCTGGGTCGTCGACCCTCCAGACCTCATATTCAACGGCATCAAGGAGAATCAGTACAAGAAAATCAAGTTGGTGCAAGAGCTAGTTGAGATTTAGTCTCGCCTGTTGCGTACTCGCGAGCAGAAACGTCCTTTGCAGAGACAGAAGGAGCTCCTTGACCGTGATGTGGTTGAGCATGAGCGGGAGATACGGGAACTAGAAGCTTTGGAGGATCGCTGATAACCTCTCAAGTAAGGAATGTGTAGCATTAAGATTTGGCAAATCGTTCATCACATAATGATCTAGAAATTCGTGGCTCCAAGACTAGGCTTAATGACGGCAATTAGGAACTCGCATTCGAAGTTAACTCCATAATGTCCACTTTCAAATTAGATAGATGCTCTGCGGATGTCTTAAAGCGTCATCTACGAAGGTCATAACGTATGATACTGGTCTTTCGCCATTCTTACAAATACTCCTCTTTGATATTCCCCACATCCAGTTACAATAGCCTCCATTCTAGCAAATACACATCGTCCTCCACAAACAGGGGTATATAAAGGAATTAAGAGAGAAGAAGAGAAAAAGTCAAAAGATGCAATACTAGTAGTGCAGTCGTCGTTCGTCCAGGCCTCCCGCTCATCAGCGTCTGCTCATCCAACTAACGAAATAACCGACGGCAGACGGATGGCAGCTTGAATGTAACACGTCATTCATGAATTGAATAGTGATGATTTGCAGTGAGCGGAGACAGGGGTGCCCTGTGGGTATCCGGAGTGAAGTTGCAATAAAGCATACCATGACACCAAGTCCGTACCCAACGTCGTATAGCAGAATACTGGTCGACTGAGCAGTTATTCAAGAGGTCCGCGGCCTCAGGCACTCAAAATCCTCTCATGAGTCCGTTTGTTACTATAATTGGTTCTGAGCACTCTCTCCGGTTTCTGTTGAGCCATCTCCCTCGATTGTTCGTCGCCAATGCTCGGGAAGGCAGACGCACACGAGCGGGAATGCTTTGATTTCTCCGCTCACAGGAGGCGACACATCCCGCATCTTTCCCGATGTGTTGGAGACTCCGCTATCTCGCTGGGCTTGGCGACGGTTTTCCCATTCTTCAGCAGTCTCATCCACCATGACGCCAGTTGCCCATCCGTCATCCCAAATACCAACGACCTTGAGCATGTCACCCCGTTCAAGGGCGAACTCGTCAGCAGCCCGTGGCTGGTATGCCCAAAGCGTGGCAACCTTGTCGCCTGGATGGATCTCGTCTTGAGAATAGTAATCTTTGAAGAAGGGCAGCTGCTCGCTTTGTTGGCTGGCCACACCACCCTGGGGTGATGACATTAGCGAGACACCGTCTTCGCCTGCGAGAACTGAACCGCTCGACAGGGAGCCGCTCCTCTTCATCGTCGGCGGCGGTCGTAGAATGCCAATACCTCGGTCAGATATCGGGCTGTCGCGGTATCCGTCGGACGACGAGTAATCATCGCCTCTTCTTCTGCTTGTTCTACTAATAGCATAAGCGGCTGCCGTCTTCTCGCCGGATCCGGAGCTGAAGTCTCGATGAGACCGTGGGGACGGGGCATCCCCCTCGAGGGCCGACATCCGGGCTATCCTTCCACCTGGTGGCCCTGCAAATCCATGATTCAGCCCATCATTCTGTGTCATTAGCGCTGTTGACGGCCCTTTCCTAGCAGGCGTCGGCTGGTTGAGAAGGTTGCCGTCCTGGCTGCCACGTCTCCTCCTTCTCAAGAAAATGCACGCGAAGATCAGCAGGGTCAACAGAGCCAAGCCCACCACTGCGCCCACCACGATTCCTGCAATTGCGCCGCCGGAGAGCCCCTTTTGGCTACCATGATCTGTTACCGGTTCGCTGGTCGAAGTAGCGCTTGGAACGGGGTCCAAAGTTATTGATGGCGAAATCGAAGGGAGGACGACGTTGGCACATCTGGTCTCGGCGTCGGAATTATAGCAACACGTATCCGTCGCATTCGGCCCCCCAGATTTGCAATAACCACACAAGCCCAAAAGACTGCTTCCGAATCCACAATTGTCGGGCTCATTCGCAATCCCCGAGATACAGTCGCTACTAGATAAGGAGTCCGCCGGCAGGGCACACGTAGTAAAATCGGCTCGAATCTGATCTGAGTAGTTGTCATTTGGATTTTCGCAAAGAGAGCTGTCAGCGACAATGTTAGCTTCGCTGATCGCATATTGTGCCTGTTGGAGAAGTCAGCAAAGATCGTCCAATGAATGTCTGTCGGTTACTTACGCAAGTATCAGCACAAATCGGTCGAGAATTTGCTGCTGAAAGGTTACATTTGGTAACAGAATTCTGAATGACGCCGTTACACAGTACGGTAGTCGCGAATCGCGCATAGAGCTCAGTCGTATTGGTGAGTTTAATCCCCCCGCAACCGAAAAGATTTTGGAACCTGAGGTGATGTTAATATGGAGTTAACGGGAATTATTAAGGGCAAGGCGACGTACTTGAGTTGAACGTAATTTGTTTGCACATAAGACTTTAGCTGCTCATCAAATGTTGCGGTGTCTTTGACATCCTTCAAGAACGGACTAGCAAGTAGAATAGGTCAGTTTCCATTATTTTCCCAACTTCATTAACGCAATGACAGCGAGGTCAACATACTACAGTTTCACTAGGTCCTCATCTGTCGATATCGAAGACACTTGGAAGGCAGAACACGCCGTCGATCCCTTAAGTGGCACGCACTGGGCCATGGCTGCCGGGATTGCTGACAGGAAAGTGAGAAGTGCTTTTGTGCTGCTTTGTCTCCGAGAGACCTTTCTTTTCGCAGAACTGTGATTGATTCTTTTGGTGATGTGTGTTGGTGCTAACTTTTGGCGTTGGGCTCCCTTTGCGGCACCGACGACCAACACCTTTTTGTTGGCGTAATCGAGACTGTTGTTGTCGTCCAATCGCGGGCCATGGATTCTCGATTCCAACCTCCTAACGTCATGTTCTTCCTCAAGTTGTATCATGGCTCATAATCGAAGAACGAAAGCAGAAATGAATGACAGTGGGCCCAGATTTGGGAATATCTGCTGGAGTGAGTGATATTGCTCAAACTAGATCCCTAACCAAAAAGGCCCTTGGCGTCGAGATGGTCGGCGACGGCCCGTAACCGAGCTGTGGGCTAGCGTGGGGGGGAAGTGATCGCGACGATGACTGACGTCCAAGTGGTTGTTGTTGAGATGGCGTATGCTGTGAGGTTAACTCCAAGTGCCAGACTGGGCGGCGTAGGTAGAGATCGGATGGTAGCTGGTTCTATGCGAAAGAGTGGTAGACCGGCAGTGCCTTGTTTTTGAGGAAGGGACAAGTTGGTCGGACAGGATCGTTGTTGTTTCGGTGGTGGTGGTGGTGGTGGTGGTGGTGGTGGTGTTGTCGCACACCGGTACACAGCGCCGGCTGCAATGCCAATTGGGCCCTCTTCGTCGGCAAGGCAGGGCCGCTTGTACTTGGGTAACCTGGGATGCAGCTGAGTGTTTGGAGTTGAGGCCGGGAGGTCGGTCTGGAGTGGTGAGGTGCCGTTGGGGTGCCTGAGAGTTGGATGTTGCGGAAGGTATGCAAAGTCGGGTGGTTGGATGAGGTGTAATGCGCAGTGGGATGCAAGCTTGCCAAGGCAAGGCACACCCGTTGCGACAGAAGGGAGAAAGATCAGACACGGGGCGGGTGCAGCTCCAGGCGCAGGAACAAACCGCGCAGATGGTAAAGATGGTGAATTTAGAAGAAGAAGAAAAGGTATTCGTAGATGGAGGCGGGCGGTGGCCTAGAAGGGAATAGATGATGAAAGCCGGTTACCGACCCGACCAAGGTATTCTAGATAGCGCGACGCGACCTAGATAGATATTGGACACGGCAGCAATCCCAACCTAGAGTTGATGATGGCGGTCCAAGGCGACGGTCTGTGGAGAGGACCGAGCGAGACACGACGGTTCCCGGATCGAGAAATCGTGTGTGAAGGAAGGAATTGGAATTGGATTGACGGACAGGATCCAGAACGGAATCCGTCACTTGCAACTGCCAACTGGAACTGCTGGTGGTTGAGAGAATTGTTCGATGCCCTGACTGACTTTCACCCGGGACTTTTGACCCTGACTTGGGACGCAGATTGGTGAGCGCAACGGCCCAATCTCGCTTGACGATTGCAGGCTCGAAGGTACTGCGTACGCCTTTCCTTTTCGCGTTAGACAGCCGAAGCGCTTTGGGCTTAGCGCCCCTGTTGGAGGGCAGATTCCGAAACTCCTTCCTTGCAACATCTGCAAATCTCAGGAACAGCTTTGAGACAAGGCAGGAGCTTTGAGGAATCATCGGTGAAATACAATGGAAGGCGCTGCACAGGTAAACGATAAGGGAGTTGCCCGGTACTGGTAGGAGCCGATCGATAAATGCTGCATCATCTCAGCTATCAATTTGTGTTTTGCGTTCATCGAGTGTGCTGAACACTGACTGACACCCTGAGAGGAGGCAAGCTTGCCATCTCAACTCTTTGCCGTAGTTGCCGGCCATGACATATCCCAGCGGCTTTCTAATTTTAACTTTGACAAGTTTTTTGGCCACTTTTATATTTGAATAATAAGAAAGAATTCAGTTGTACAAATGTTAGCCATCGTCCCATGCATGCCTTGATCCAAAAACGTAAGTAAAGTCACAATCAGGAAGAGGCTTTCGAGACCTTAATGACAAACAGAAATCATTCAGTTAAAGTCCAGAGTCCAGAGCTCAGAGCGCGTGTAAGTTCTCGGGGCTTCTCCAATCCCCGTCCCAAAATGAAAATGAAACAACCAGCAGCCGCGTGAACTTGACCAAAAAACCCCGAGGAGGGTGGTCTGTCGCTAAGCCGCCTCGGGAACCCCTGTCCTACAAGAGTGGGGTTTCGTGTTAACTTTCCCCGGATTCGGGCGCCGAACGTGGTGCTTCGTCCGGGGCATTGGTGTTGTATTTAGCCAGTGGTGAAGAAGTCTCGAACAGTCGAACTTTGGCATCCATTCGCTTGATCATCCGTTTGTAACAATGATATTCAGGAACTCCCCGACTTGGTATTCAATTATCGAAAATTCCGAGTGCCGGACCCATGTGTCTGGATACCATCCACCCAATGATTCGGTATGTAGTCCTATACATCCCTGAGTTAGGTTCGGGGAATTTTCTCGACTAACGGAATAGGAATTACAAAAAGAAAGACAAATGTGAGACCATGTATTACAAGCGGCAAAGAGCAGTCTTGGCCATTTGTTGATTAATATTGGCCAGGAAATGTCTTTGAACGACGAAGGGCCCATCCGAACTTCAAGTACTGATCGTTGCTACGATTTTCCTATTTGCGCTTCCGTAAACCAACCACAACTCCTCCAAAAGCATAACCAAGGACACCAGATCAGAACATTACTCCTCCTCGTCGCTGTCGCCGTACAGCTCGCGCTAACATAAGAAGTCAGTAACCATGCATCGACATCATTAATCAACGAAAGGAATAGTCTTGGAATGGTTCGGCTCGGAAGGTTTCGTGTACAGTGGTTTGTCCGTGACCAAGATGGTAAACCTCCCAAGGAAGAATATCCACTCATGTTCACGGTGATGAAGTGCGGCATCATCGAGTTGGCAGCCATATCTACACCCAACACAGCGCATGGATGGAAGAAGGGAAAAAAAAAAAAAAAAAAAAAAAAAAAAGCAGCCAAAAACCAAAGGGGGGGGGAAGTTAAAGAAAAGAAACATACCATAGCCCTAGCCATCCACTCCATATCAGGGTCACCGGCAGGCGCAGAAGCAGCAACACTCTCACGAGTTTCACTAAACGGTAAGTCCCGTAGTTCAAAATCTCCTCCATAAACTGAAGAGCCGCCACTCTTCCGGCTCTTCGACAACAAAGACCAGTTCGAGCCTCTCCTGCTACCAGCCGGCTCATAAATATGCGGCAAGTTAGCAGTCGGAAAGCCTGCTGTTGCTGCTGCTGTTGCTGTCCCCGTTTCCGGGGCGGCATCCAGAATTGGATCCGGAACCCTACGACCAACTCTCTTCTTCCCGCTGGTATCGATACTAGAGGCAGTTGTGCCACCAGTACCACCAGTCCCGCCTCCGTTGACAGTACTATCACGCGGTCCTATCCTGGCGTTTACATTTGCCCCCGCCAACACTCCAAACTCTGACATGGAGTAATGACCCGGCGCGGAGCTGCCATCGGGGATATGAAACCTCCGGTCGAATCTCGAAAGGAGGTACGTAATTACGACGACGAGCTCGATGCCAAAGTTGAAGCAGTAGAAGGCCGCCTTTGTCTGAGCCCACGCCGGGTTGTTCAACGGGCGAACGACAAAGTTGGTAGCGGCGCGAAAGATGGCGCCCGTGGCAAGCAAGACCGAAGTAAACGTGATCAAGCCGAATTTAGTCCTGAAGTGGCCGACGCCGAACCTATCGATGGGCGTTCTCCGGGGTACCAAGGCAGCGGCTAGGACGAGCGAGATGGGCAAACAGGCAATCACAGCCAAGTAAACGCCACAGAAGAGCTGGATGTCCTTGTCGATGCGATGGGTCTGCCGGTTGAGCGTGAAGAAGCTCTGGATCGTTACGGTGATGACCATGACTAGCACGATAACAATGCTGCCAAAGAGCCCCCGGAAGAGACGGGTGAGCCCGGGTGACCACCCGAAAAACCGATGGTAGGCGCGGATCATCCGCTGGGCGAAGACGAGGTTGGTAATGAACAGGAGGAGAACGCCTGCGGCAACGAAGATTTGCGAGGCGATGGCTAGGTTTTCGTCGTCCGGGTGGAGGGCCCAGGCTATTCGTGTTGCCAAGGCCACTACGCGGGCCATGCAGAAGCCGAAGAGGAGGCCGGAAAAGAGGAATTTGAAGCCGATCCGTCGGTTGATTTGGAAGATAGTCATGTTCATGGCGGCCAGGGCCAGGAATACGACCAAGAGAACGGCACATACTGGGACATCGATGGATCGGGTGGGCTTGCCGCCCAGTTGGGCCTGATGTGGGAGGTAGGGTGGTCCGTCTGGTTCAGGCTGGAATTGTTCATGATGGGTCAGCGATAGTTTGGCAGAGATAAAGGGGAGCAAGTGGGGATGAAGCGGTTGGGCGCCCAGGATATGAACTTCATCATCATGATAAGTACAAGGACTGATGGGGTTGACATACAGGTGGAGCGTTATTTCCCCCCGTCCCTCCCAAACCGCTTGTTGACGAGTTAGACATCCTCTTTCTTCACTTGTCGCTAGGTGAACGTCGAGGGAAGATTGAGAACAACAAAAAGTGAAGTTTCCATTGGGTCTACTGTTGCAAAGACAAGTGACGGCTGCGTGATCACATAGCAGGTGTTCGACTTCAGTTCCTTAAGAAGCTCAACTTTGCTTTTGTGATCCAGTACACACAAATTATGATGCAACTTACTCGGCCTGGTGTTCTTAGAAGTTTAACAGAGGGCCAGCGAAGATCTGCTGCTAAGAGGCCAAATGAGCCATCAGTAAGCAAGGGCGGACAAGCACAGCGCAGTGACAGAAGACTGGTGCTGCGGATGCAAGACTTGCTTCGGCATTACACGTCAAAGCTGGCGATGGCTGGATGTGAAGTGAAGGAAAGCTCTGCGCTGCTTCGACTCACGTCTCTTTCAGGAACAGAAGTCACCAAGGCGAACGACGCTCCCCGAGAGCCTTGACCAGAAGAGGTTGTGTAGAGCACTCGACTTCATCAGCCTGAGCCGGTTCTGACATCACGAATTGTAACCACGGAAGCACACCAGGTTGTCTGAACCCATATCTGTGAAGAGATAGCCGCGTCTAGGCTTTGATTTTGCTGTGCGCCTTTTTCGCCTGACTTGTTGGATGTTATCCAGTTCAAAGAATCGGCAATCATATGTGAGTTCGGGAAGCAGGACTAATGCATTGCTTCCAGCAGACGACGTACTGATGATGAAATTTCTCACTAATCACAATTGTTGCAGTACGTACGTTGATCTCGTCGACATTTTCTTGGTTGTTAATGTTCTATGGTGACTAGAACTATGTAGGCACATCAGCACATATCAACAGAGACGTACTATTGATCACAGAGAACGGCCACTGAAGACTAGAGTGCCTGTGAACAATCGAGGTGAATTGTAATTGTCATCCAAGGTGTGTTTGAAGGAAGCCAGAATATGCACCCACATATGCAGAGCGCCAAATTGCTCCGATGGCGATCATGGTGACGAGTTATCATGTTCTGCACCTCTACTCATGCCTACCCGCCATGTATATGAGCCGTCTCACCTGTTTAGCTCACCGAGCTCGTCGATGAAGTCCAAAATGTCCACTTTCCCTTCGGGAAGCCCGTCTGGTAAGGAATACCTAGGCCAGACAGTGTGAATGTAAGGTGGGAAAAACAGACGTTCCAAGCGGGAAAGCAATGACGCCCCGAATCCAATGATCTAGACAAAATAGTTATCCGAATTCTACATGAACTGGCATAATCAAATTCATGTTTCCCTTCCTGTCTTTACACCTGCATTTCCCAGTTTATCATGAAGGGTACACCAAAGGTAAACTAACTGGCTGAGCAAAGAGTAAGACGTGACTCGAAATCGAAGAGAGACTGGGCTTTGTTGTCGATCCCCGATGTTCGATACATTACTTGTCTAATCATGTCTCGCGAAACACAACGCTCACTATACGAACACGTGCTATGGTAATCGTGTCCCGGCTCCATATAGCGCGGAGTTTATATATGGTTGCGCGAAGAAATGTATCATTAAGACTTTTCGCTCTTCTATGTCCCTTAATCTTTCTGCTCAGGGCATAACACAATGAGGCGAAGGCAAGCTTAATCATTAAAGGAAGTAATCGGGAGTTCCTGTAAAGCAAAGCATTAGATAAACACCCAATTAAAAACTTTGTAAAGCTTGGGGGAGTGGACGGGGTTGAAATCTTACGTCTCGAAACCATAGGTTCGCCAGCCCTCGGGCAAGGGTCGAATTGCAGGCTAGCGTTTTGGTTAGCGTCACTGGGCAGAGCATCAAAAAGGCTTCATGGAGAAAATAGGACGTACAATGTGTATTTCAGGTGTTCGTCAATTTCCATGATGGCGGCTTGGTTACCGCACCTGTAGCAGTAGTTGGGCGCTGTATGATCAGGGTTAGAAAAGTCTTGGGTAGACAATAGATTAGTGTTCAAGGAGTCCACTTACCCGAGAATATGGTGACAACATTCCTGTCCTGGGACCAGTTGTAACCCTCCATCACAAGCTGATGCGCTCTGGCAATAAGTGTCAGACCGTTGTTGTGGTTGAAAGCTTCTGAGATATCCTGGCCAAAGGTATAGCCTGCACCACGGGGCGAGATTCCCCATCCGCAACGGTCATCGGGATCCGACCACAGCAGGTCGCACATGGGGCCCTCGTGGGGAACCTCCTGGATTCTGTCGAGCGCTCTGATGTTGTCGAGCGTGTCGATGCTAGGGGAAAGACCGCCGTGCAAGCAGAAGATTTGGTTGTCAATTAGGGCGGTGAGAGGAAGATAGTCGAAAAGATCGGTAAAGTACTTCCAAACGTTGGCGTTACCATACTTGCGCAGGCACTCGTCATAGAAGCCGTATACTTGTGTGATCTGGCGCGACTCGTGGTTGCCGCGCAAAATGGTGATGCGGTTGGGGTATCGGATCTTGAGAGCGACGAGCAGAGTGACGGTCTCAACTGAGTAGTATCCACGGTCGACATAATCTCCTATACACCGGGACGGATCGCATTAGCGACGGCAGCCATGGCATGGCGGAAGCTGCTGGAGTTGGAGACTTACCCATGAATAGATAGTTGGTGTCCGGGCACGAACCTCCGATCTTGAAGAGCTCCATCAAGTCATGGAACTGACCGTGGATATCTCCGCAAACGGTGACGGGACATTTCTGGCATCGGTCAGCGCGCCTGGCTAGTTGGGTGGGACATGTGGAAGGAACAGGACACATACCACCGGCTGAACGTTGGATTCGTCTTGGAGGACTTCGCGTGCCTATAATCAATTTGTCCTGTCAGCATCGGACCCCAAACAACGGTGCGCACGCGACCGACAACCCTCGGCAGAACGGTCCTTCCCCACGGTAGCAGCAGCGGCGGCGACAGCGGCAGGGGGGTTTGATGTGCGGGAAGCTTGGCCGGCGCGGGCGCGATCGCGGTATTACACGGCGGGCGAAATGATGGCGGAACCGACCTTCTCGCACAATCTCTGGACGTCAGACTCGGCCAACTGCTTGCAGTTCATCAAGCTCTCAATCCAGCCGTCCAGTGTCGGGATGGTGGTTGGCTCGAAGTTGGACGAGGTAAGCTCGGCGGGAACGCGCCCGACATCCTCCATATTCGTATCCATGTTGGTGGGTAATTGGGCTTGCTGGAGGCTGTTGGAGAGGCTATTGCGGGGTTAGGTTCGGGCGGTTGTGGGCGATAAGAAGGTGATCAGGATGTCGTCGATGTAGCGGGCGGTGATGGCGTTGAATGCAATGACGTTGTAATCTCTCGGGCGCGGCGCGGGTCAAGCAGCAGCTCGAAATTGGGCAGGTGGAGGGTGAGCTGGGTTGCAGGGCAAGGCAGAAAGAGTCGCCTCCCGTGTTCTCCTTTTGGACCGCAAGGGGGTGAAGATGGACGGGAACTGGTAAGTGGTAGCTGATGCTCCAGGTTGACCTTTGTCACTGAATCAAAGACGGCGCTGGGCGTCTAAGGGCTGGCCGTCGCCGTGAGAGATATCCTATCTCGGCAGATGGGGTATACTGGGACGCAATGGAAGACAAAGTCGTCGTGACGTTTCGCGTGATATTGTCCCTTTTTTTCGTGTGTGAGGTTGCTAGGTAGAGGTAGCGGTTTGTCGTGGTGACTGGGCTGTAAGGTAGGTAGGAGTTGGAGACCGTGGTGGTGGGTGGAGGTGGCCGTAGGTGGGTGGGTGGTGCAGTAGTTACTACGCAAACAAAGTGGGCTGGGGCGGCGGCAGCAGCTGAGAGATTGCGCGCCCTTGTAAAGGAAGTTGGTCAACGTTCCCCTCTGCCTCCTTGAGGTTGGTTGGTAGGTACCTAACCTACAATGGAGACCCGCTCGGCCCTGCTGGCGCTGTGCTGGTGAAATTGCCGGGGTGAGTTCAGGTCAAAGCTGGGAGGTTGAAGGATTGGGGGAGGGAAGTCGGGGCCTAAGGGCGTGTTTGGCTCCCGTGAAATTGGGCTCTGAAGTCTTCAGAGCCGTTTTTTCAGAGCCGTGTTTGGAAACACTCTGAAATTTTTAGCTCTAAAATCCCCACTAAAAACCGACTCTGAAATTTCTTGCTCTACTTCGTGAAAACAGCCAATGAAATTATGTAAATCCTCTGAATTTCAGATTAAATGATTCTGAACTATTCAAAATCAAGATAGTTACTGAAGTAGCTTTCTAAAATCAGATTTTACACTTTCAACTACTATGTAACTACCCTCATTGTTACTAAAAATTAATAAAATTAATTGCTATACCCGCTAGTACTATATTATAACGCCGTTAAGCATTGTATTATCATCGTGTACAGATAATATTAATAATTGTAATGCTCGCTAGTATTAATTTAATACTATAGGCCTACTGTATCCCTATAAATGTTAATAGAAATAGTTGATTAATAATATACGAACTTATTTATAAATATCCGGGCCGCTTCCAATTAATATTAAGGATAATACCGTACGCCTTCTATAGGTTAATAATATAATTCGGTAAATATACTACCTTATCCGGCTCGAAGAGGATTACAATATATAAGAAGGTAATAATCTTTCTTTTTATTATAATATAAGGGTTAATATTTCGTATAATTATATATACCCTCGGATTTAATCTAGAAACGGGATACCGTTTAGTAATCTATACTAATAATTATAATATAGAGTACTTATATACTACTAGTATATTTTATAAGGTTTTAAATATTTATTTTATGCTAGTAAAAAAGAAGGTTAAGTTACTAGAACCGGTTACTCTATATAAGATTCAATCTAACCCTAAATTCTTTTTATATTTTTATAAAATATTAAGAGTTTTTAATAATTTATACTTCAACGTAAGGGTATTGTATAATAAATAAAGACTATAGTATAACTATAAGGGAGGTATTTCTATAAAATTATTATTAGTATATAATTTTTCTAGTTGGATTATATACGTATAGCCGGGTTGGGAGGGTTCGGCCAACAATATAAAGGTATTAAACTATATATATACTAATAGCTATAGTATCTTTAAAGGATAGATCTATTTAATTAACGCCGGTTATAGTAATAGTTCTAAATTCTTTATACTATACCGTAGCGTATATTACTACCTTAAGGAGATTGAACGTGCCGGTTTAAAACTAGTAATATATTAAGAGTTATATAACCTTCGTTATTCCTAAATTTAAATTATTATTAAAAAGATAATCGGTCGGTTGAAAGGGACTTTTAAAATCTATTGTATATTATTATCCTTCGACTCTACTATATAAATAAAAGTAATATATATGATTGCTATATTATTAAATTAAATTTTAAATTAGTAAGGGTATAATTTTAAGGTAGAGGGAAAAAATTATAATATTATAAATTCCGTATTTCGTTAAATCGTAAGAGAAAGAATAAACTTCTTACCCTCAATAGTAATAGCGGATTGGGAGAGGATTAGAGGGATAGGGAGTCAAATAAATCTTTATTACGACCGTATTATAAAAAGGATATAATAGAATTATTATAAAGAATTTATAAGAAGAGGAGAGATATAGGGTAATTGAGGGGGGGGGAATAAAGAAAGGAGTAAATGTATATATTTGGCGCTAATTGCCTAAATTACCCTTAAAGTATTCAAATTGAGTAAAATTATATTTATTGAATTATTAATTCAAATTACTTAATTACCCCCTAGAGTATAGCCTTTTTAAAAATAGTCCCTTCGAGTATAAAAAGTATAAAAGATTAGCGATTGCTATTAAAAGTATAGATTTGATATTTAATATATTAATTAATATCAGCGTTATTTATATAGTTTTAGCAACCCGTATTATTAGTTGAGGGAATTAGTAGAACTATTTATATTAATTATAAATATACTTTAAAACGGATATAATATAGATGTATTAATTTAATTTATTTTAGTGATTAAAATAATAATTTTTTTATATATATACGATAGTTTTTTAGTATTAAGGTTTTGGTATAAAAGAAAGTTAAAAAAAATAATAAAAGTTAAATCCGGGGTTGGGCCTACTTCCTGCTCCCTTCTATTTATAAGAACTTTATTTGCTTAAATAAACCGTTAATAAACTATTATAATATAGTATATTTATTAGTTTAAATATAAAGCAACCGAATATAAGGCTAAGTTAACCAGACTAGTATTAAAAGAATCCTCCTCCTCTTATAATTATAGTATAGGTAAATCCTCCTCCTCCTCCTTCTTATTTTAAATACCTAATTTACCCTTTAATATATTAAAGTATGCTTACTTTATTCAATTCGAAATAATTACAAAGTAGTATATATTAGCCTCTAAATCCTTTTATTCGTATAAGGTGTAAATACTAATAACCGGATAGATTTTATACTCCTAATCCTTCGTAAAGATCTTTACCGCCTTAGTAAAGTATAGGTACAATTCGACGATAGGTGCGGGCGTAGGGTTATCAATACCCTTATTAATTAAAGTATTTGCTAGATATTTAAAGCTATCGATAATAGCCTCGCCGTTACTCTTCTTCCTCTTTTTTTTAGGATCCGAAGACGAAGTAATTCTCTTTTTACTAGTACGTATATAAATTAGTACTATAAATTCCCTATCTATATCCTCGTTAAAAAATTTATATAGTACGGCTATAGTATTACGAACTTAAGTAGCACAGGGGTCGCCCAAGCCCTCGGGACTCGATAGCCCCGCCTAAGGTGACTAGTATAACCTTTAGAACTAAGTAGGGCGTATAAGTATAAGTACGGGTTCACTAAATGCAGTAGCTTACTAGTGAATTAGGGCTTACAATAAACCGGTATTTATAGTAAACCGGGGCTTACAGTGAGCTAGGGCTTACAAGTGAACTAATACTATTAGTAAGCTATTACTATAATAAATACTCAAATTAGGAAAGATAGAAGTAAATATAGAGTATAAAGGGATAATTAAATTATTTAAATTATTAAATAGTTCAATAGTAATTAATAGATTATTATTATTGAAATTAGTATTATAGGTATATTTATTGTGAACCTCTTAGCTTTACCGAATAGTATTAATAGTCTTTATACTTTTAACTATCTTACTTAGGTAAATTAAATTACTGTTTATTATATATTAACTATCCTCTTTAGCCTATCTCAAATAATATTAAAGGTATTATCTTCGCTTTATTATATTTATTACCGCTAGAAATAATAATAATAATAATACCTAGAATAAGCCCTTAAATTTCACTACCATCTAGTAATAATTTAAGGTTATATAGGAACGTATTCTCTAATTTGAAATTTAATTCGAAATTAGACCTGGTACCCCCGAAGCGAAAGTAGGAAAGGGAACTACCCCTATTAATAGATTAAGGATTAAATTATCTATACCTAAAGAGTTTAATAACTAATAAACCGCCCTTATAGGATTCTTAATTTAAATATATATTACCTTTACTTTTATAGAAATCGGTTTGCCTCTAAATTCGAGAAGGTAGCTTATATAGGTACTTAATTTATAAATAAATCTTTTACTTGGTATAAGCCTATCCTTAAGGATTATTACAAGAATGGAAATTAGGCTTCGGATTTTACTAAGAAAATCTTAGGTTTTTATAAGAAATTTACTTAAACCTTCTCCTAAATCTTTAGAAAAAAGGATAAAACTTGTAGGGCTTAGGAATACCTAATTTATCTTTAATAAATTAAATTTACTTTAACCTATACTACGCTTTTTAAATAAAACTCCCTTTATAGTAATATTAATAATAATGGGCTAATATAATTATTTTATAATAGCTTTAAAGAACGAATTAAGGACGAACTCTATAAGGAGGACCGCTTTGAAATTATTAACGCTTATATAGATAAGGCTATTCGTATCGACGATTAATAATTCTAATAGAAATAGGAGAAGAAAGGGAAAATAATTACTTTCGTCCTTTTTAAATCTAATAATACTAATATTAAGAAAAAGAGGATTTAGGGAATTTATATCTTTAAAACTATTTACTCCAAGCTTATAGAAATTAATATAGCCTAAACTAATTAAAGTAAGTAGGACTTTTTAAAGGTTAAATACTTTAATTGTAGTAAGAATGGGTATATAAAGAAAAATTACCAAATGCCTAAGCAATTAAATTGGAAGAAAGCGGAAACTATTGTAATAGAAAGAATTAGAGTAATTAAAATTGTTAGCGTCGAATATAATTAAAATAATTTAGAAAATATTATCGATAGAATTATAGACTTTATTTAGGAAGTATAGTAGGAGGCCGATAATAAGTATAAGTAGGAAGGGTTTAATAAGGAAGATTTTAAAGAGGAGGTATAGGATACCGATATACTCTAGGTATAAACGTACTAAATTTTAATATAAGAAGAAATCGGTAATTTCCTTAATACTAATTGAATTCTCTTTATAGCTATATATATAATAAGTACTACCCTTCTCCTAATATTTCTATTAATTTCTATAGTCAAAGAATATTATACCTTCGAATTTATTAACCTATATTAATATAAATACCCTAATAATCTTACTAATAAATATTAAATAGAGCTACTATAGTACTATCTAAATAAGAGCGGGAAGAATAAATTATAGGACGATTTTTAGAAGAAGTAT